CAAAAATCCCCTAAAAAAAAAACCTCTTGGCCAAAAAAAAAAAAAAAAAAAAAACAGTGGTTAAGTATGAAAAAAGAAAAAAAAAAACAAAATGATAAAAATTTAAAAATCTAAAAAAATATTACTTCACAGAACTAACTAGAAGCCAAACAAACCACTTCCTCCGCATGAAAAATAAAAATTTATATATATTAACTTTTTTTTCCATTTTTAAAGTATATTTATTTCTTGGGACCAGCAGTTAGCATAATGGCTATGTTGCTGGACTCCCACGTAGTCGACCGCGGTTCAAGTCCCAGACCTGGTGGCTTGAACTCATGCTGGGCGCATGTGCATGTGTGCCCAGGATCCCAGAGGAGAATGGAGGAGAAGGGATTGCGGTGTGGCCATCCCCCCTGGGGGGTGATTTCTTGCTATCTCTCTGTCTCTCTCTGTCTGTCTGGCAAGCACACGTGCCCTATAGCAAAGAAAAACCTCTCCCTCCCAAAAAAAAGTATATTTATTTCTTCTTTGAGAGAGAGAAAGAAAGTGAGAGAGAAAGTCCTCCAGTAGACTTCATGCAATGATCCTTCACCGGCTTCATCAAGCCAGGATCATGGGCAAGCACACATGTGTCAGGTATGTATAGGGAGACCTCAGGATGCAAACCTGGGACCTTCCCATGTGGCTTCAGTATCATGGAGCATTGCAGTGCTGCTGCACCACCAGGGATGGTGTATATTAACTTTATACACATATGTATATATATATATATATATATACACACAAACTGTGTGTGTATATATTTATTAATATTTGTTGATGATATTCAGTAAATAGAGAAAATGGTAAGAATGGTTATCTAGTTGGAAAAATGAAACCAGTAAAACATATTTGACTTAATTTTGTTTTTGCATGGAAATATGTTTAGATCAGCAACCTGTATATTAATAGGAATTGGTCCCAAGACACACACATGCATTTAAATCAGGAACATGAAGAAGGTACAGAGAAACCATGGCTTTCAATTCAAAGCCTTTTACTCACCCATACATTTTCTGCCTTTGAGCTGATACCCAGGTTCACAGCCACAGTGGAAACTTCCTATCACATTGAAACAGCGTTGATGACAGGGGCTGGACTCTTGACATTCATTAATATCTGTTAAATAAAACAAAACCTCATTATATACTATTAGGAAACGTGAGTTAATTTATCACAAATGTTTACCATTCTAATAATCTTAATCATTACCATGTTTAAGAACTTCTCTAAAACGAATCCAATACATTTACCCTCTTATGATCTGCTAAATAGTTGACAGAATTAGCTGCTGGACTGGATATCTGTCTCCAGTACTCCTCAGGGGTAGACATTTGCAAATGATGGAGAACTGTGTCAATAAAACACTCCCCTACAGTATTTTACCATACGACTCCCACTTCCATTTCTAGTAAGTTTTAGCCCTGGAATGTTGCTAACAAACTAGGATGCTGAAGACAGAGAAAAAAAAAAAAAGCACTAAGGTCTTTTGCAATTGACCTTTCTTTCCCATTCTTGCTTCTCCTGACTTGGTGCACATTGTGCTTGTCTTCAGCAACTTCAGCATTTCTCTCTGTCTAATGTCATTGCCAAATAACTTCCCGAACACCACTTGGGTCATAGTATAATAAAGAATCTAGGTGTGAACTCCTCAAACTCTTGTGTACTTGCTTGTATGTTGTACCTTCTCTCTTTTCTATGCAATTTTGCTGCGAATTTAAAACTGCTCCAAAAATAAAGTCTCTTTGGGCCAGCAGGTGGCGTGGTGGTTAAGGTTCTGGACTCCCACATGTCCAACAGTGGTTTGAGTCCCAGACCTGGTGGTTTGAAAATCAGGCTGGGCATATGTGTGGGTGTGGCCAGAATCCTGGGAGGAGAATGGAGGAGAAGGGACTGCAGTGTGGCCATGCCCCCTGGGGGGGTGATTTCTCACTTTCCCTCTCACTGTTTCTCACTGTATATCTCTGGCAAGTGCACATGCTCTATGGCAAAATAAGTAAATAAATGAAGTCTATTTTAAAAGATCCTCTAATAAACATTTCGTTATTAATTAATACAATGGAGTTTAATGACATGGGTTCCATTAGATCACACTGTATGATCTCCTCTCTCAAATGGTAAGGGGTAAATGTTATTGCAAAACCACTGTGCTACAAAAATTTATAATAGCCATGGACTATTATATCTAAACAGGATCTTTATTAAGAAGTTCAGCTCATAAATCATGGAAAATGAAGTTCTGATTTAAGTTTTCTGAAGGGACTGGAATCCCACTCCTTTGATAACTCCCCATTCCCTCCCTTTACTTGGCTCCTCCCCCTTAGAGCTTTCTGAGAGAGTCTACTGTAAAGCATTCGGAAGGGGTACCATGAAAATAAAGAAAAAGCTTCCATTTTCTGACCTTGACAACTCAGCCCATCAGAAGTTCTTCGAAAGCCACCTGCACATCGGACCACACAGCGATAGGACCCGATAGTGTTGTCGCAGTCCTGAGCAGCATGGCATGTGTGTCCCTCCAGGGCACATTCATCAATATCTGGAACAGAGGGACAGTTAACGCAAACACAGCTGAGGAAACCGCCCTGTGACAGAGATAGGAAAAGCAGTGAACACCGCCGAAAAACACATGAGCACAAGGAAGGTGGGACTGGGTTTTCAGTGGAGTGGCTAGAATAGCTAACAAACCCAGTGTGGTAACTTCACAGACTGGTTCATTAGACCACTGATAAATGGGGTGGCTCATTTAGAAAGTTTATTTCTCCATGAGAGAGAGAGATTGAGACCCCTCCAACAGGGTCTTCCCACTGCGATCTGCCCCTGCCTAGCCAGCCTCACAGGCATGTGTGTGAGTATCACGCATGTAAAGGGACACGTGGGAAGGGGACCCGGGGCCTGTGCATCAAGGACCTCAAGTAACCGCGGTCACTGCGGCAGGCCGAATGTGGTGGTTTGAAGACATGGACCACGCCATTTCTCTCTGGGATGCTGAGTGAGTGACTCCTGCTGTTAGAAAGCAGTGTGTGAGCAGTGATTCCCTCTTTTGGGCTTTCCTGTTTGAGAGAAAACCTCTCCATGTATGGCTGAGGAGTGGTGAGGCAGGAGGAAAGAAGAGGAATGCTCTACCACACTGCCTGGACGAAGGTGCTTTGGCCTTTGTGTCCATGCACCTATGGCGTTGGGCTCTGTGGCTACCTTGACAAGTCCTTCCATCCGCAGCAATGGTGAGGCCTTTCGGGCAGGAGCAGTAATAGGTTCCCATGGCATTATGGCAGGTGTGGGAGCAGGGATTCCCCGAGGAACATTCATCTTCATCTGAAAGAAGGAACAGAGGGCCCAGTCAGGAGGTAAAGCTCCCACTTTCTAGGAGATACCAAAGCCAGTGAAAATAGTTGCTTATGGCGCTGGTTTGAATGTATCCCCCTCCCCTAATGGTGCATGGAGACTGGGTTCCTGTTGTGACAGTAGGATGAGGAAACAACTTGAATAAGGAATAAGAGGCTTGGGAGGTGATTAGGGTAAGGCCCCATGATTGACTCCTGATAGGTTCATAAGGAGAGAGAAATCAGAGCAGAGACACACAGATGTGGATGGAGACACGTGTGTTCTTCACACGTGAGGCCCTGTGTCACTCTCCAGACTGTGTAGAATACCTACCAACAAGGCCCTCACCAGGTATGGCCCTGTGACCTTGGACCTCCAAGACTATGAGCTAAGTAAACTCCTGTTCCTTATAAATCACCCAGACTTCTATTACTAGCAACAAAGAAAGGACTAAAACATTTATAGAGGCCAATGAGTTGAGTCAAATATAATTTTCTGGGGGGAGAGGTTTTTGCTATAGGGTGCATGTACTCACCAAAAAGACAGAGAGAGACAGAGAGACAGAAAGTGAGAAATCACCCCCCAGGGAGGATGGCCACCCCACAATCCCTTCTCCTCCATTCTCCTCTCAGGATCTTGGGCACACATGCACACGCGCCCGGCATGAGGTTAAGCCACTGGGCCTGGGACTCGAACCGCAGTTGACTACATGGGAGTCCAGTGACACAGCCATCACGCCAACTGCTGTTCCCATATGAATCAAATATAATTTTTAAAGAAGTTCTAAGAGCCACAGAATGAAATCTCTAGTAAAAATTAATTTGGATTGCCAAGTAATCTGACAGTGAACAGATGTTCAGATGATAACCTAAAGTAGCAGGGATGACAGCTAAATTATATTTAACACCTGCTGTGATGAACACGCTCTTCACTTGCCTTACTCAAGCCTCACAGCCCTCCTAGGAGGTGGCCATTTTATTGCTGTACTTACTCTGCATGACAAAACTGAAGAAGAATGAGGTGAAATAAATCACCCAAGGTCACACAAGTTATTACTGACAGAGCTGGGATTAGAACCTTGCCAGTCCAAAGACCACATTTTTTAGAAGGCATTACCCTGCCTACCAGTGGGAAAAAGCACTGTGTACACCAGTCTGTGCTCAAGTCAATTACTTAGCTGTTTACTTCTCTGTGACTGTCTTGCACTGGTCCTTTGGTGGGACCAAGTTGGGGTAGACATTCGTCATAGGTGCACAGTCCTGCCCTGTGCTGTGATTAAGCTATAGCAGGGTTAGGTGACTTAGGGCTGGATCATCGCGGGCAGTGGAGCAGCAGGTGGAGGGGGTTCAGCTGTCTCTGATCATGGCACTTCGGGACTTGGTCACTATCCCTGACACAGTTGGCTGTGGCCAAACTGAAAGACATGGGCTACGTTCTTTACTTTAAGTTCAAATCAAGCCCTGCCCCCTGATGCTGGGTGCGCTTGGCAGTTCTTTTAACATTTAGTTAATGTCTGTTTCCTCAGCTTCAATGGAATGTTTATAAGACTGTTAAAGCGCCTAGCCAAAAAAAAGCATTACATGGTCATTAAAGGTCACATTTATAGAAATAAGAAGTGCTTTCTTCCTGTACTTACCAGCACAAAAAGGTCCAATTGAGTCTAAGGCGAACCCAGAAGGGCACTGATTACTTCGCTCTCCTACCACAGAGAGGGAAGCAGAGTTAATGGCCTTAGTAGAATATCAGTACCTGGATCCTCCCAGGACAATCTTCCCTGGGAAGACGAAACACGTGACACAAAAACGCAGTAGGTGAAAACAAGCAGGGATGGAAAACTTGTCCTATTTCTCAACCAAGAACTAAATGAATCATAGCCCAGAGATTGCTGGCGATCTGCCTCTGGAACTAGCTTTTCTGTTTAAATTGCTTACATTGAAAGAAAATTAAATAAAACATTTCCCTGATAACTAGAAAGGATCCAAGATCAATGTGGATGCCAGGCATAACCTCAGGCAAAGTCCCACTTCTCCAGTTGATGCGTTCCTTTTTGTTGTACAAGGAATTGTAGTGTTCAAGCATCTGAAAAATAATTTATGCCAGTGAAAAAGAAATTCCATAAAGAAGCTTCTTCCTTTTGTGGCTCTCCGCCATTTGCAATGTCGAGCATTTGAATCCAAGTCCCCCAGGTCTGACTGTTTTCCCTTTGCAAGTAGTCGAAGCAAGAAAACAGACAGATTGTGATAGACCAAATTTAAGTGAGATGTCAGGGAATAACGCGCTAACCAAAAGAACAAGTGAAGTGAAAAATATTTTTCCTGAGAGTGTCCAAGTCACTGTGCACATGCGGGGGAGTGGAGCTAGGATGGGTGGAACAGAGCATCCATTAATAGCACATACGGCTAACCAGTCACTGGATGGTGCTCTGTCCACACAGGGTGCTGTGAGCTTTGTGCTGACTTCGTTTAAGCCTCATAACTCTCCGACTGTCCCGATACCCATTTTTTCCTTAAAGGTTTTTGCCATAAAGTGTGCCTGCCAAAGAGGAACAGAGAGATGGAGGGAAAGTGAGAAATCACCCCCGAGGAGAATGGCTATGCCACAATCCCTTCTTCTCCTTTTTCTTCTCAGAATTTTGGGCACACATGCACACGAGCCCAGCATAATTTTCAATTGCCAGGTCTGGGACTTGAACTGCAGTTGGTCGTGTGGGAGTCCTGTGCCTTAACCACTATGCCATCTGCTCTTCTCCTCTGCTCTGCCCTTTTTTTTTTTTTTAAAGTAAAAAAATACAGGATCTCAGTATGTTGAGATTCCCCTGCCTCAACCAACCAACCAGGACTGCAGTTCCATACCAACACCTCTGGCTGTTTCTTAGTCTCACTCTGTTGTCCAGGGCAGCCTTGAACCTCAAACTCCTAAATTGCTAGGATTACAGGCAAGGGCCACCTCACCTGGCGTCTGGGTTGTACTGGGAATCAAACCCAGGTCTCCATGTGGTTCCAGCCAGTGGAGCAGACTGTCTAAGCAGCACTCCACCATAGCTGTGCTCTGGGTGAGAAATTTGAAACTGAGGCTATTAGGTTGCCTAATGTCAAAAAGTTAACACGCACTGGAGCAAGAGCTAGATGCAAGTCAGTACAACGTCAGGTCAGGATTACGGCCAACGCCCCACTTACCCATTTATTCACACAGCCCTTATTCCAACCAGTATGTGGTGTAGGGCACAGTTTTTGGGTAGAACTGTGATAAAAACATGTCATATAACAGGTGGTTATCTGATACAAACAGCTTCAGATTTTCGGTTCTAAATGGGTGAGGTATCTTCCATTGGTGGCATTTGGGAAGTTTAGGGGGCGGGATACTTGATTGTCATGATATAAATGATTCCAATTTAGTGAGGAAGGCAGGTCCTGGGCAGTTTTATGAAACTGCAATGTGTGGAATAGTTCTGCAAGATGAAGATTTGACCCTTGCTCTGCAAGACTCACAGAAGTGAGAAAGCTTTAATGATCTAAGCTTTAAACTTGTCTGTTACAAATGAAACATTTTTCACATGAGTTAAATATATGACTTTTCTAGAAAGGTAACTATCATTATCATTTGGCAACTGCTTGTACTTCATTTTATTAAGAACATTACTAAAAGTGCTTGTGTGTGTGTGTGTGTGTGTGTGTGTGTGTTCCTATATATAAAGTATATATATATAATGATTCTATACTGGGTTCAGGTATATGAAATTTGGATTTTATACCCAGGTTCAAGCATGTGACTACTCTGTCCCAAGATTTTCATATTAAAATATAGCATACTTTGGGACCAGCAGATGGTGTAATAATTATGTCGCTGGATTCCCATGCGGTCAACCATGGTTCTAGTCCCAGACCTGGAGGTTTAAAACTCATGCTGGGTGCATGTAAGTGCATGCCCCAAATCCTGAGAGAAGAATGGAGGAGAAGGGATTATGGCGTGGCCATGCCCCCAGCGGGTGATTTCCCACTTTCTGTCTTTCTGTCTCTGTCTCTCCAACGAGTGCATGCACTCTATAGCAAAATATCTCTCTTAAAGAATATATATAGCATACTTTATTATAAGTTATTTTCCTCCCTGTTTGTTCTTCATATTATAGTTAAAATGTGTTATTTTGAATGATATTAGTTATGATTTTCATTTCAAGATAGTAGGGGCAATACAAAATATTTGCTTCTGTTATAATAATGTATGATAATAGAAACTGTGAAAAGCACTACATAAAATTCCCCAAAGTCTTGTCACGTGGAACTGCTGAGATTTTGATGTTTTTCCTTCTAGCCACTTTTATAAATATTTACTTTAAAATTAAGTTAGAATATACAGGCTAATAAAGTCAAGCTTACTACTAATAAAAACCATTTAGAGAATCTATTAAAGATATGGCTCCTGGGGCCAGTCGATGGTGTGGTGAAGGTGCTGGATTTCCCATGGACAACTGCAGTTCGAGTCCCTAACCCAGCACCTTGAAAGACACACCGAGCATGAGGGCGTGTGTGCCCCACATCCCGAGATTGCAGTGTGGTCATCTCCCTTAGGGGAGGATTTCTCATTTTCTCTCTCAGTCTGTCTCTGTTTAACTGCAGCAAGTGCATGCACACTACAGCAAAAAGCTAAACAATAATAAGCTAAAAATACAAATTTTGGGGACCAGCAGGTGACACAATGGTTATGGCACTAGACTCCCACATGGTCAATTGTGATTCGCACCCTGGACCTGGTGACTTGAAACTCACACTGGGTGCATGTGTGCCCCTAATTCCAAGAGAATGGAGGAGAAGGGACTGTTGCATGGCCCCAGGGAATGATTTCTTGCTTTCTGTCTCTCTGTGTCTCCAGTGAGCACATGTACCCACAGCAAAAATTGCTCTCTCTCAAAAAAAGAGAAATATATATATATATATATATATACACACATAGTCAACCATGGTTCTAGTCCCAGACCTGGAGGTTTTATATATATATATATATATATATATATACATATATACACATATAAGAATCCTATGGTCCCACTCCTATCAGAATTGACAAGGAAAAGACCCAGAAATCTGTGTTTTTAACTAGTATACAGATTTGCTTATATTTGCTTGGGCACGGGCACCCCAGCTTTGAATCATATAGTACTGCTTTACAATCATTATTAGGTCGTGAGCATTCTCTTTGTCACTTGTTCACAGATGTTCTGTCAATTCCTTGAACAGGATCTAGCAGGTGGTAGGCACTTAAATATATGTTAAAAAATAGAGGTATATCTTCAACATCATTTAAAAATGGATGCAGGTGGTGACAGAGTGGAAATACAAGTGGACCCATATGGGAGAGGTCTTGTGTTCTCATCCCAGGACCTCCTTCAAGGCATGGGGAGCATGAATGTGCCTGAGATTCCGGTCAGCTGAGACTGGATGTGGGCTGCACTGCGAGTCCTTCTTAGAGATGTGTCTCTCTGTCTCTTCGTCTTTCTCATGGAATGAATAGACTTTGAAAACAATGGTTTCTATGATTGTTTCAAGAGTTTATCATTCAGAGTCAGAAGGAGGCATGGTGGTTGAAGCACTGGACTCCCATGTGGCCAATCATATTTTGAGTCCTGGACCTGGTGACTCACTTTCTCAATTTCTCCTTCTCTTTCTCTCTTTATTCAAAATTTAAAATAATAATAATAATAAATTAAATTAAATTAAATTAAAGAATTCTTTTAGGGCCAGCATATGGGGTAGCAGTTACGTCACTGGATTCCCACATGGCCTACTGCAGTTCGAATTCTGGAACCATTGGCTTGAAATGTGCTAAGTGTGTGTGTGTGCATGCCCAAGATCTCAAGAGGGAAGAGAAGGGATTCTGCTGTGGCCATCCTCCTCCTGGGATGGGTGGTTTCTTACTTTCCCTCTCACTGTCTCTGCTTCTGTCTCTCTCCCAGTGAGCACACATGCCCTAAGGCAAAAACCTCTAAAAAAAAAATAAAAATAAAATTATTCTTAAAAAAAGTTTATCATACATATTTTTCATTATTTCCATATTTATTTCCCACTTGCAGGATTTTTTTTTTTATAATTATAAATAACACCAAATGAAACTTGCTGAACATTCATCTTTGGCTGTCTCTGTGATTTTCTTAGGGACAGACCCTTACAATGACATAACTGAAAAGATTTAGACATTTGAAAGACTAATGATATGTAGCACCTTCTAGAAATGTTGAATCAATTGATAGCACTGCCAACAGTGTAGGAAGGTTTTCATTTTCCTACACCTCTGCAATACCTGGCAGTAGCCACTAATGTGAATGGGTCCTCATTTTCCTAATTTGCATTTCTTTGTTTATTAATAAAGGTAGTTTCTTCACATTCACTTATCATCATTATTTATACCTTTATACATTTTCTGTTTATGGTTTTGGTGGTAATTTGCTTCTATCTTCCTGATTTTTCAGTCTTGTATATATTTAGGTCTATCACAGTGGTCAATACTATATAGTATGCACATATATTTTCTTGGTGCATAAGTTAATTACGTTCTCATCTTATTTTTTCCCCCCCATGAAAGATAGAGTGTTAAAAAGTTTAATTTATTTTATACATTTAATCACTATATATCACTTAGCTTGTATTTTGAATTTACCCAACAGGAATACACTTCACACCAGTGGAGGATACAAAACATGTTATCATCAACAGATAATAACCCATTTCTGTGTCCCATAAATGTCTTGCCTCTCTATTTTCCTCCTTACTTTTAAGATATAAAATTTTCTTTGATGAGATTGATTTATTTTCAAGTTTGCCTGACTAGGAGTTTCCAGCAGTCTTGACCAACGTGTATACCATATACACTGGAATGATTCAGGATCTGTGTGAAAAATACAGACTCCCAGGGGCATGTATTATACTTGCTAAATAAATATCTTCGCGCCCACAAGTCTGTACTTTCATCTAGCACTGTAGATGATTCTGTTAATTGCACTAGAATCAGCTCAAGTTTAGAACCAGCATAAAAAGACAAAAAATTTGGTGGTGACGCTACCAAAACCACAAGCTTGCCCCCTGGTGGTCACTCAAAAATGAGTGCATGTACATAATTCTTGAAATTCACAGGAACGATGTCAACAATAAATGGCATATATATTAGATGTCATTCAGAGAATCGTAGTACCCAAGCACAGTAAGGGTCTCAGGATGTGTCCCTTACACAGCAGGACCCAGATCCCCAAAAACACCCTTAGAGATGCCACAAAGCCTTTCAAGCACAACTGGGGAAGAGAAAACATAACTCTTTGTTCCAGTAGCTCCTTTCTTTTGTTCAAGTGGCCTGAACAGACAGGATGATAGAAAAATGAAGAGGTGGTGAGGCTGTGGTTTGGGGAGGTGTGGCATTATGGGACTCAGTGATTGAGATAATCGGTGATTATCTCAAAAAATGTGTACTTATATTTTGAGTTTACTATGTTCTCACATTTTTAAATTTTTATTTCTTTTAAAAGAATTATTTAGGGACCAGTAGTTGGCACAATGTCTATGTCACTGGACTCCCATGTAGTCGACCATGGTTTGAGTCCCGGATCCAGTGGCTTAAACTCACACCAGGTGCGTGTGCATGCATGCCCAAGATCCTGAGAGGAGAATGGAGAAGGGATTGTGGTGTGGCCATCTCTCTGGGGGGTTATTTCTTGCTTTCTGTCTCTCTGTCTCTCACTGTCTGTCTGGCGAGTGCACACGCCCTTATAGCAAAAACCTCTCCAAAATAAATAAATAAATAAATAAATAAATAAATAAATAAATAATTAAATAGAATTACTTAAAAAAAAGGGGAGGGCTGGCAGGTGGCATGGTGGTTAAGGGCTTGTCCCTGGAGGTTTCTTAAAAATGAGTGCACATACATAATTCTTGACTCCCACATGGACTCCTATATGGCCAACCACAGTTCGAGTCCCAAACCTGGCAGATTGCTCTCTGATTTTCCCTCTCCCCCTCTCTCTTTCTTTCACTCTTACTCCCTCTAACTCTGTCTCTCGCTGGTCAAATGAAAATAAATAAATAAATAAAGTTAAATTTAAAAAGAATTTTTATATGCTCAGTATAATAAAAACAAAATGGGGCTATTTAAAATCTCCTTGGGTCTATCTAAGGAAAGCTAGTATTGAGCAAAACATACACATTCACCAGGTCAATGCGAATCCTTTTGGGTGTACTCATGGGAGCCTAAAGGTCAAAGCTAAAGTCATGCCAACATTTCTTGTTTGTAACGTAACTACATGCAAGTATCTCCCAGCATCAAACCCTCACAGAATGTGCTCTGGTGGCCCTCACGATTAAAAAGCAAATCTCAGAGAATGGACACAGCAAAGGAATGTGGAGCGCAGAGGAACTGTTTAGATCAAGGGTGTGGACCTCTGCTTGAGAAGTGAAAAACAGATCAAAATTTTTAATTTTCAGGAACAAAAAAAAAATGACAGAATCCCAACTACTGCAGTATAATTTTACAAGCTGATTTTTAAAGGACAGAAACTACTTTGACTAGTTTGTAGGTTAAGATACAGCTTTATAGTATGTTTCAGAAATTAAAAAAAAAATCCCTTAACAAACAAATGGACTTCATTACCTCAAGAAAAATAATTCTGAGAGATTATGTATATTTAACCCTCTTCGCACATAGGGGAGAGAACAATAACAGCTCCACTATGCAGCATGAAGAAGCATATTAATAAACTAAATTTACGACTCCAGTGGGATTGGTTTTACCTACAACAAAGCACAGTAACAGACTTGCAAAACCTGTTATCACCCTGTTAAATCTAGCCCGGACATCTTTATTTTGGATATCAATGAAGTTCTTTTTACACTTTTTGGAGGGAGCAGATGGCATAAAGATAGGAATATTTAAGAACATTACCTTTGGAAATGGAAGCATGGATTTTAAAACCCAAAGTCTCTTCTAATTGGTTATAGTCAGATTCCACAGAAGATGCATGAAGTGTTTCTACCAAGAATGGCATTCGTCCCCGTGCCTGGTCATAGACAATGGTGTGATTCCACGTGTACGGCACACTGATGCCATCCATGGTGAACAGCCGGGTGGAATAGGCGTACAGCTGCCCTGGCCCTGTCTGAATGTAGTCCTCTGTGTAATCCTGAGGAGAACAATATAGATTTGCAGTTCCACATGGCTCATACTATTTTATTTTTCTTATGGGTACTATGAGATGCAGAAACAAATAGTAATCATTTTTAAAAAAAGGTCTCAGGGCTAAAAAATACATAGTGTGAGGGGCTGCACTGTGGAACAGCCATGAAACACTATGCTCTGCGAGGGTGTGAGGCAGAGCACCCTCATGGGAAGGTTGCAGGTTTGTGTCCAGGAATCTCCGTGTGTATGCTGGACACTCAGGTGCCCATGATCCACAGGACTGGCTGAATCTGCGGGATAGATCCTGGTCTCAAGAACCAGCTGCAGATATGGGCTCTCTGCCTCACAGAATAAGTAAATAAATGCATTATGCTAGATAAAATAGTAATTGTACAGTAGTGTTCAGGAAATACCTTAAAGTCTGAACCTTTTTATTGTAACTACATTAGCGTCCTAATTTTACTGTCATAAATTATAGTGTCCTAAGATACTGAAAAATGGAGGGCAAAAATATAGAAAGATGTGAAAGGTAGTTTTTAATCATTCTTTAATTTCTGAAGTAGTTTTGTAGATGGAATACCAAAACTTGCACTGTTTTCAAGAATTACTATTCTTACCTAAAAAAGAAGGAAACAATTGGCCCAAATCTTGGTCTTGATAAGCAGGGGAATAAAATCACGAACATAGATTTATTCCTGAAGAGAATTCCTTCAACAAAGACCAAGGAGTCATTCATAACTTTAGTGGTTTTAACATTTACTCTCCAAAGTGAACAAGGGAAAATGCACAACTTCTCTGCATGTCTTGGACGTATCCGGTTACCATTACAGTCAGAGGCAGTGTAGGTGTATTTAAAAATGTGTTCTGCCATTTACCTTTACAGTGACTTCAGCAGGTGACGGCAGCTGCAGGACATAGCCACTCACAACGATGTCCAACAGCAAGGCACCATCAGAATCCAAACCTCGGGCAATGTGAGTCATCCGCAAGATTTCTCCTGGGGATTACATATAACACATTCATTTTTCTTTCTGTTTCTTTTTCTTTTTTTAAAAAAAGTTTTTGCCACAGTGCATGTGCATTCACCAGAGAGGGATGTTGAGAGGGAAAGTAAGAAATCAGCCCCCTAGGGAAGATGGCCATGCCATAATCCCTTCTCCTTCAGTCTTCTCCTGGGATTCTGGGCATGCACACACATGTACCCAATATGATTTTCTGCTGGGTCTGGGACTTAAACTCCAGTTGGCCATGTGGGAAGTCCAGTGCTTTAGCCACTATGCTACCAGCTGGTCCCACAACATGTTCATTTTAACAGCAAAAAAAGTATCATTTGTGTAAACAGAGCAAATTTACCTTACATGTCAGTTCAGCCTACTGTTTCAGTTTAAACTTGAGGAAAAAAAAGCATAGATTAGGAGAATTAAATTAGCATTTTAGCCTCCCAATTAATGAATTGGGTTTACGAAAAAGTTTCTTCTAAAATTTCTCTTTTTGTTAAGTTTGTTTCTTTCACTCCGCAAGAACAACACAGAAAGAGAGACAGAGAGAGCATTCCCAAGAAGGTCCTGATACTATGATCCACTCCCAGCCTCAAGCAGCCCTGGGTCATAGGTGTGTGTGTACCTGATGTACTCAGGGAAGTCTCTGACATGAACCTAGAACCTTCTCACGTGGGTCAGCCTTACAGAGCACAGTTTTACCACGGTGTCACCATCCAGCCCTCTAAGATGTCTTTTTATGTGGCAAAAATGTAGCATATGATTGTGTGTGCTCAAATTCTGACAGGATGGAGAAATAGAGAAGAGACGGCAGTGTGACCGTGCCCCTGGGGGCAGGGGTGCTTTCTTTCCCTCTCTCACTGTCTTTCTCAGGTGAGCACATGTGCCATTTGGAAATTTAAAAGAAAAACAAAAACCTCTAAAGACTTGAAGAGAAAAATACAGAAAAAAAAAAAACTTTGGGGAGAAAACTGCTTTAGAGCTTGAGAATATATGGCCTTTTATAGACTTTATGTCAGTATAAGTTTACAGGAAAACATGAAATTCCTTTTATATCATTCATGACAAGATTGCATCAAAAACCATGTAATTATTCTCTGTGGGAACATGTAACAAATTTTTCTTAACTAGCACTACTTTTTACATAGTCATAGGATATTAAGTTGAGCTGATACTGGGGACAAGCAGATGGCATGCTGGACTCCCACATGGTCAAATACAGTTTGAGCCCCAGACCCAGTGGCTTAAAAACCACTCTGGGCACATGTGCATGCATCCCCAAGATCCAAGGAGGGGAATGGAGGAAAAAGGATTGCAGCATGGCCATCCCCCCTGGGGGAGGGGGGTGATTTCGCACTTTCCCTCTCTCTGTCTCTGTCTTTTTCTCTCTCTATCTGGCAAGCACACATGCTCTAAGGCAAAATTAAAAAAAAAAATTCAGCTGATATTAACCAGTTGCGAATTCCACTTGGGTTTCTCTTTTGAAAACTGCATTGGTGAGGGTAAAGCCATTGACTGCTTCTCCTATTTCCTTTGCTGTTGTCCAATAAATGGGATTCAGAATCGAAACTATTTTTCTCATTGCTGGACCTGAAGATAAAAGCATAAATAGGGTGACACGGAAAGGTAGTTCCCATCTATTATTATAGTCTCTGTAGCATATTACTCACAATGGTATATTCTAAATTATGATGAAGCACACAATTAATCAATACCAGTAACCAATGTGCCTTTAAAGCTTACCATTGGGCTAGTGCTAAGGGTTACTATATTGATGATAGTAGTAACATCCTTTAGAAACGTTAAGTGGAAATAATAATAACTATAAGAATATATATGCTTTAAAAAGAGGCTTATGGAAGAACTTTGATAAGCAAAGGGACTCACCAAGACGGCGAGGTACATTGGTAATTCTGGCATGTATTATTTTAGTATCAGAGTTAGAGCTATCTGTAACTGTGGCATTGAGAAAAGCAATTCCAAATTCAACATCGTTAATATTTCCAATAACACTTCCTCTGGCTCGCTGGGGCCCACCTATGGAAGAAGAGAAAACATTCCTGGATAAGGAAGCAATTCCATTAACATTACATTGGGGGAATGAAGGCCAGTATTCAGAGATGCTACAAATCTTATTCTAACATCAGAAAGGTCATATGGCATCTGAATTTAAAAATGAAATACGTAAGCTCTTAAAATATTCTACTTTCATGTAACAGCCATCATCCCCCATAAATCCTTCCAATTTATGAACATCATAGTATTATTTCACAAGCAGAAGAATAAAATCAGTGTCCAGTCCCCAAACCAAAGTAAAGCATTTGTTGTTGATGAAATAATGATGACAGTGAGAGTTTATTGAGCATGCCATGAGCAATAGTAAACAACTTAATATGTATTAACTCTTCTTTTTAAAAGATTTTTGCCATAGAGTGTGTACTAACCAGAGAGACACAGAGAGAGGGAAAGTGAGAAATCACTCCGCAGGGGTGACTCCTCTCGGGACTTCGGGCACCCACACACATGTGCCTGGCGTTTTTTTAAGCTGCTAGGTCCAAAATTGGACTCGCAGAGTGGGCCATGTGAGATCCAGCACCTTAACCACTACACTACCTGCTGGCCCTGTATGAACTCTTTTAACTGTAACAGCAGTCATATTAGGTAACTTTAAATCATCAGTTTGAAGGTAGGAAAACAAAGCTCAGAGAACTCAAGTGGCCTTCCTATGATAGCTGCAATGGTTATCTTTTTAAAAAAATTATTTATTTAATTTTGTTTATTTATTCATTTATTTTAATTTGACCAGAAAGAAACACACAGATAGAGAGAGAGGGAAAGTGAGAAAGCAAGCCGTCAGGTCCAGGACTCGAACCGTGGTCAGACATATGAGAGTGTCCAGTGCCTTAATCACCACACCAGCTGCTGGTTCCCCTGCCACAATGAGAATCTGAATGTGGATATGTGGATCTTCTTGGCATCAAAACTCATGTTTTTTTCCTTTTTGGCTTGTTCATTGGTTTCTTTTTAGTGTGTTTTTGTTTTGCCATAGAGCATGTACACTAGCCAGGAAGAGAGAGACAGTGAGAGGGAAATTGAAAAATCACCCCGGGGGGATGACCACACTACAATCCCTGCTGTTCCGTTTCTCCTTTTGGGATTTTGGGCATGCATGCACATGCACCAGGCATGATAAGCTGACAGATCTGGGACTTGAACTGCAGTCAGTTACGTGGGAGTTCAGTGCCTTAACCGCCATGCCACCTACTGGCCCCATTGTTTATTTATTTTTTAAAAATTATATACATTTATTGTGTATAACATGTTGCTTTAAAATATGTGTAAATTATGAAATGGCTAAACTAAATCAAGTAGTGTATTTGTTACCTCACATACTGTTTTAGAGAGAGAGATTTTGGCTATAGGATGTGTGCGCTCTCTGGAGAAACAGAAAGAGACAGAAAGCAAGAAATCACTCCCCTGGAGGAATGTCCACACCACAATCCCTTCTCCTCCATTCCCCTCTTGGAATTTTGGGCACACATGCACACATACCTGGTGTGTTTTAAGTCGCCAGCTCTGGGACTCGAACCACAGTCAATTAGGTAGGTGTACAGTGACATAATCATTACACCATCTGCTGGTCCCTCACATATTTATTTTTGTGATGAGACTACTTAACATCTATTCTGTTAGAATTTTCAAGAATATGTTATGGAGAAATGTAAGCGAGTTGAACGCACAGAAGAAGTAGAGTGATGGTTATCAGGGGCTGGGGGTGGGGGAGTGTTGATCAAAAGAACATTTCGGTGAGATAAGGAGGAACACACCTGAGTTTATTGTACAAGGTGTTGACTATAATAAATAACAAAATTGGGACCAGCAGTTAGCGCAATAGCTATGTCGCTGGACTCCAATGTAGTCAACCTCAGTTCAAGTCCCAGACCCGGTGCCTTAAACTCGTGTCGGGCGTGTGTGCATGCGTGCCCAAGATCCCGAGAGGAGAATGGAGGAGAAGGGATTGCGGTGTGACCATCCCCCCTGGGGAGTGATTTTTTGCTTTCTGTTTCTATGTCTCTGTCTGTCTGGTGAGCGCACGCACCCTATAGCAAAAACCTCTCCAAAAAAAATAATAACAAAACCAGTGGTCTTTTATCGCTCGCTTCCTTCACGAGAACAAAGGAAGAAAAAAGAGAGCTCACGAAGAAAACAACCTGTAAGTTTTGTTAGAGGTCATTGCCACCATGAGTGTGGAGGGTCTAAGGGGCACTGTTCAGTCTTGGGTTTTAGATCGAGGGTTCAGGTTCTTCATATTACGTCTGTACTGGAAACTGCTCAACTTGAGAAAAATCAAAGAAGGATATTGTGCTTTTGATAGTGCTACAAAATTCATACTAAGACAAGTTGGTTGAAAAATGATAATTTTTTTTTGAAACTATCTCTAAAGTAATTTCACGGCATCTTTCCATTGTTCAGCAAAATTACTGGTTACTAGCAGAGAATAAGTAGCTAACACATGTGTTTTTATGTCAATTCCATGATTTGAAAGAAGAGGAAAACATAATGGAAAGAGGCTGACAGTGAAATTTAAAAATATTCATTATCTGATGTCTTTGAATATATTTAAAAACAGTCACTAGGTATTTCAGATACAGCTATGATTGTACACTGGGGGAAAATACAGTAGTATTCAATCTGGGAAAAATCAGTAAGGATAATACTTCACCATTTTCATTTGTATTACTTTGATTATTAGAGAGAGAAAATATCTTTTGATGTTGACTTAGTCATTGTGTTCCGGACTACATTCATTTGTTCAAGGGTAAAAAAATGATCAGAAAAAAAAAAATCTGAGTCTCACTTTCATCGAGCTTATGTCTGAAATGGGGAAACACGTGAACTGGAATTCCACAATACATGAGCAGTTGAAACACAGCAATGTGTAGCAGTATTTACTACTCAGGGAGGTCTCAGAAGGAGGTAAAAATGGAGCAAAGATTGAAAGAAAGTTTAGGTTCTCTTTTTTCTCCAAGTTTATGTCTTCCAAGGGAGAGAAAAAAAGAGACAGTGGCCTCCGTGACAGGGCCCACACACTGGAGTCCATCCTTTCTCACACATGCCCCGCATTTCAAGGAGGTCGCAGGACACAAACGCAGAACATTTCCCATGTGGATCTAGTTGCATTACCACTGTACCACTCCTTGGTTGGCAGGTGGCATGGTGATTAAGGATGCTAGACTCCCATATGGCTGGCCATGGTTTGAGTCCCAGACCTGGAAGCTTGCTTTCTCACTTTCCCTCTTTCTCTCTCTCTCTCTTGCTCTGCCCCTCTCTGATCAAATTTTAAAAAATAAATAAATAGGGACCAGCAGTTAGTGTAATGGCTATGTCGCTGGACTCCCACGTAGTCGACCGTGGTTTGAGTCCTGGACTGGGCGGCTTAAACTCACGCCAGGTGCGTGTGTGTGCGTGCCTAAGATCCCAAGAGGAGAATGGAGGAGAAGGGATTGCGGTGTGGCCATCCCCGCTGGGGGGTGATTTCTCACTTTTTTTCTCTCTGTCTGTCTGTCTGGCGAGCGCACACGCCCTATAGCAAAAACCTCTCCCAAAAATAAATAAATAAATAAACAAACAAAGCTAAATAAAATAGCTCTTAAAAAAAAAAAGATCAGGTTCTTAATGAACTTTCTGGGAGAAGGACTTTCTAGGTAGAGGATACAGCGTATGTCCCTCTCTGAGAGGGTGATGGTTTGCACTGCTGAGAAAGCCAACGAACAGACAGCTCAGAGAGTGATGGCAACTGTGTTGCAACTAGACTGGCCAATGGGGGCTGCAGACCACTTGGTTCTTAGCCTTAGTTGCATCCTGAGGGGAAGAAGGGTGGTAGGATCAGTTCTCTGGGTCATCTCTGATGATGATCATGGCCTGGCTGTCTGGTCTCCCAGCACAGCTTGAGCTCCAGTGCTCAGCAGATGTCTCCTAGACCTGGTTATCTATCCAGGATCCTTGAAATCCTCTGCAGACTGTCCACCTCCACTGACTTCTTGCCATCACTGTGGTCCTGTTACCACCAGAGAGGAGCTACAAAACACCTCAGTGGAAACCAGAACTTTCAGCGTGCCTCAGGCATCGTTCCACTCGCCCTTTCAGTCTGTCTGGGTCCTATAAATCATTTCATGTCAATCTCTTTCACTTTGTCAAATGGGCCTTCACAATGATGTTGCTTCATCACTCCCTCAATTCTTTCTTTCGTTCGTTTGTTTCTTTTTTTTTTTTTTCCTAGAGGGAGTGTGTGCTTACCAGATTAAAAGAGAGAGAAAGGAGAAAGAGAGAGGGAGAGAGAAAGCAGTTCCAGTGGGGACGGTCATACTGCAATATTTTTTCCTCTACTTCTTCTTCTCATGATGAATAGTGCTGCTAAAAAATATGGCCTCATTTATGCTAAGCACCCAACACCACAGTCTTCAAAACAACATATTTTGACAAACAAGTTTACATTGAAAACCTCAACATCTGCTTATCTTCAAGGACACGGAAAAACATTTATGAACTTGTTTGGAAAAAAGACATCAAGTGGCACTGTAGATAAAGACCTGCGGCCACACTAAGGCCCTTCTCAAAGAAGCATATACATATATATAGGTTTTTTTGTTTTTTCTTTTTTCTTTTCTTTTTTGGAGAGGTTTTTGCTATAGGGCATGTGTGCTCGCCAGACAGACAGAGAGAGACAGAGAGACAGAAAGCAGGAAAGCACCCCTCCCGGGGGGATGGCCACACCGCAATCCCTTTTCCTCTGTTCTCCTCTCAGGATCTTGGGCATGCACTCACACGCGTCCAGCACGAGTTTAAGCCATTGGGTCCGGGATTTGAACCGTGGTCGACTACATGGGAGTCCAGCGACATAGCCATTATGCTAATTGCTGGTCCCTGTTTTTGTTTTTTTTTTTAAGAGAGATTTTTTGCTACAGGGCATGTGTGCTCACCAGAGAGACAGAGAGACAGAAAGCGAGAAATCACCCCCCAGGAGGGATGGCCACACCGCAGTCCCTTCTCCATTCTCCTCTCAGGATTTTGAGCACGCACGTACACGTACCTGGTGTGAGTTTCAAGCCTCCAGGTCTGGGACTCGAACTATGGTCAACTACATGGGAGTGCCCTGGTGAAATCATTACACCATCTACTTGTTTCTCAAGAAGCATATAAACCAGAACAGTTCACAGCAACTTGCCCTCCTACGTGTGAACCGGAGCAGCTGCCGTGCTCGAGCACTCCTTTTTTTTTTTTTTTTTTTTTAAGAGGGTTTCGCTCTATAGCGGCGGAGAGGTTTTCGCTATAGGGCGCGTGCGCTCATCAGACAGAGACAGAGAGACAGAATGCGAGAAATCATCCCCCAGGGGGGATGGCCACACCGCAATCCCTTCTCCATTCTCCTCTCGGGATCTTGGGCATGCAGGCACACGTAACCGGCGTGAGTTTAAGCCACCGGGTCCAGGACTTGAACCGCAGTTGACTCCATGGGACTCCTGTGACACAGTCATTACGCTAACTACACTGGGACCCTGGCTGGAGAGAACTGGACTGGTTTCCCACCCCCCTCAGCTGTGGTTTGAGAGATACCTGGCCTGACACCTGCAGCGATACTGCGTCACCGAGGTGACTGACAGAGAGTCTGTGCTGACAGCTTCATCCTGGTGACGGCTTCGGACAGACTCGGGGTATGCCCTCTTTGTGGGGCCGCTGTGTTGGGACGGCTCTGGAGCAGGCTCACACCTCCCGCTGCTATCATTGTGCTGTTGATTTTGCCTGATGTTAGGAGTTCGATGTGAATAAAGTCTTGACGTTGCGGAACGACATGGACCAATTCCCGCCTGCTCTTAACAGATGAGGATGTGGGGCAAGCATGCGCACATGCACAACACATTTTTCAAGCAGCTAGTCTGGGACTGGAAACCATGGATCGCCATGCGGATTATCAGCATTACCCAACAGGGTCAGCCCAGGGTCATTTCATTTTTTTTTTTTATCTTTTTTTTTTTTTTG